GTGGCTCAGTTGCACAGGATACGTGCTACCATGGTGCTCAATTCAACACTGACAGCATCGTAAGTCTACAATATTTCACATATTTAGGTCATATTTCAAACCAAAATCAAAAATATAAAATACACTTTAATAATGTATAACATGAAAACAATACTTTTCATAAATCTAATATATAATACATTTTATATAGGCTAATATATTATTATTTAATACATTTTATATTTATTTTGCGTGTTGATAAGGAAGCCCGTTTTAGGGTATTTTTACACTGTGACATTATTTTCATGACAATTAAGAATACTGATGTCCCCAGTTGTCAGTAGCTTGTTGTAATGAAAAGTTATAACTATCATTACTATTATTAAAAAATATATATACAAATTTTAAAGTGCACTACCAGAAATGTATGGGGTCAGTAAGATTTCTTAAATGTAAGAAATCATTTTTTCATCAGAAATCATCACATCAGCTCAGCAAGGCTGCATTTATTTGATCCGAAGTACTGTAAAAACATTAATATTATGAAATATTTTTACAATTTAAAAGACGTTTTTTCTGTTTTAATATATTTTAAAATATTTTTTATTCCAGTGATGGCAAAGCTGAATTTTCGGCAGTCATTATTTCAGTCTTCATTTGTTGCTGTAGTGTTGCTGTAGTTTTATTAATATTGAAAACATTAATGTTGAAAGCAATATTTGTATGAATATTGCTGCATAATATTTTGTGGAAACTGTGATATTTTTAGGTACCTTTGATGAATAGAAAGTTCAAATCAACTACATTTATTTATTTAGTAAATGTCTTTACTGTCATTTTTTGATCAATTTAATGCATCCTTAAAATAAATCCTTCTGACTCAAAATTTTGAACAGTAGTATACATTTGTAAAATAGAATTTGGTAGTATTTGTTGTACTAAATGTAATTCATGCAGATTTTAATTTATTGCTTGTGCCTGCCTGGACATGATGATTTTTATTAACTGAGAATATTTTGTCATGAAAATGTTCCTAAAACAGGTTTGATATTTAATGCAAAATATAATTTCAGTCTTGTATCCACAAGCAAGTTGCAATACAAACATGTAGCTTAGTTCTTGTCGTTATTCACCAACTGCACATGGTAAATTAGCCATTCTTATAAACTTGCTATAAAAAGATGTCAACACTAGGCATTAGTATGTACCCCTCAAACTCTTGTCTTCTCTCTAATAGCTTGCTGACAGTTTGTTACAGAACTCTCCCTCATTGTCCAGACATGCTCGCACAGCGTGTCCTCCTCATTGTTAATGTTCTCCAAAGAGTGTGGCACGTCATTAGCCATCAGTGTGTACTCAGCCCATTAGAAGACAATGTGCTCTTCTGATATAGCTTTTAATAGGGTGAGACGCACTGATCTCAGTCAGGCAGGCGCAGGATAGCCAAGCCCCTATTGTCTAGCCTTCATGGGGAGTTGGCATTTCAACATCCAGCGCTTTTGTCCCCAGTGTCTTTTATCTAATAATCTCAGTCTCCACCTAGAGTTATTAGAGAATTGGACCTTCAGAGAGAATGACTGGATCTAGAATCCTGAGTACTGAGTTGTTCACCTTTTTCCATGTATTGTATCTATTTTTGCCTTGTGGAAGGTCTCTAATTGTTCCCTTATGTTTGAGTGATGATCTGTTGTTATGAAATGCTAGGCAGTTGCTTTGAAATGATATAAATGATGATGTCACATCACAGATATATTATAAATTTGCTTTATATTAACATTTTTCTGTTTCTCTTTGTTTCTCTAGGGAAGTTTAGTGTTTGAGTAAATGAAGCTGATGCCATTAGCTGGTCTATTGGTGGGACTTAAACCTAGTCTTTAGTCCAAGACTACATCTGTACCCAAGAGGACGTACAACTCAGTGACTCAAATATAAACAGGCAGAACCAGGGAGAACGCTGTGGAACTCTCAGTTAAAAGCCATGATCATAATTCACTAATTTAATATTGAAAATGATGTTAAAGGGTCATATATACAAAGACGCTCATTTTGTATAATACCTGTCTGACAAAAAGAGACTTGAGTCAATTTTTATTTAACGAAGCACTAGTCAGGGCTTTTGCAGAGTAAAAGGGACATTGTGTCTAATGTTTAACCTCTACTCCATGCATTACTGCCCTGTGGAGGTCTGTTTTCACAAAAAGTATGAATATAAATTCTAAAGCACTCTTAATTCCAGAATTTACCTGAATTGTCATTTGTCATTTAAGTCCTATAGGCTTTTTTTGCCATGCTAGATGATGTAGCTCATGAAACCCCTTAAATAGATTTACTCTTTTAGGTTGTAGGAATTTACTGAATCACACTTGATATGGAAAAAAAGTAAAAAAAAGAACAACTGTGGACTACTTTTGCTTCAAACGCCACAATAATCAACTTGCATGCATTTGTTTGTTTTTTTCAGTGTTCTGTAAATATGGTATTTATTGAACCTGCTTTGTTTAGTAGCAAATATCCTTATTGTTGATGCCTTTTGATTATGTTTTTTTTTTGCTATTTGAATGGTTAGCACTGTTTCTGATTTGTCAACTGACACCAAAATAAGGGCTGAATCCATGTCTTATGCCTGGATTTGATCAGTTTACATATGTAGCTTCAATATTTACAGGTTAAATATTTGCACAGTGCTTCTAAAGAGAGAACACAACCTGCAAACGTCCAATTAAAATGCTTCAGATGCCAAATCCACTGCCAAAATGTGTCCATTTTGTTTATTTATGAAACTGGATTAATTATATCATCTGTTGTTAATGAGAAGATATTCCAAAAATTGACATCAGAATAAAGAAGGGGGAAGAGAGTGACTTCAAATGTTTATGTCCTTCCAAGCAAATCTGAATGCTCCTTGTCTCACCCTAATCATGTTTAATTAACAATATGTGCATATTTTTCATTTTGTAACCTTTTCAAGCAACATGGTTATAGAGTGCAGTGAGGAAAGACTCCAGGATCATACTGGTGGAGCTGTTGAGCTGTCAAATATAAAATTGGACTATTCCAGTGATCCACAAGGTGGCAGCAAATATCTACTTTTTTTTTTTTTTTTTTAATTTTTTAC